TTTCCCTCCTGAAAAGCCACACACATTCTTTGATGGTGCCCTGACACAGTGAGTACAGGTTGCTACTATAATAAGCCTGCCCAGCCCCCAGCCACTGGTCTACAAATCCTCAATGACGGAGAAGGTGGAAGATGTTAGAATCTCAATGACTGCAAAGGCGGATGAAAGCTGAAGTGGAATGAGATCCCCAGTTGTCTTGGTGTCCTTGATATTGGATCTGGAAGCTCCTAGTCATGAACTGGCATGAAGGTGGCAGTTACAAGAAGGTCGTCTAGCACCTGGATGAGACAGGAGTGCAATTTGGCAGCTGTAACTGTGACTGAGCAGCCCTCTTCAGGAACAAACAGTGGGAAGACAAGGCTAAGGAGATTCAACATCTCGCTAACATCTACAATATGCATGGTTTCTTCAGTGTCACCAAAGCCACGTATCGTCTGAGCACTCTGGGATCAACCCCCTTGAGACCTAAGGATGGACGAGACCAGATAACTGAACTATGATTCAGCTGCAGGATGCTGTGCCCCTGTATGGGCTTGTTCATCACACAGCAAACTAGTGAACACCCAGCTGCATGCTACAATGCATCTTGTGTCAGGCACATTGCACCCCACTCTACTCCCATGGTTATCAGTACTCAGTAACGTGGCTCACCTTCATCTCTGCTGCACAAATGCTGAAATAAACTTACTAGTCAGACTCTGGGATAATCCCATGCTGCCAGTGCACTGGGACATATTCCACCCATCAATACTTCAGCTCCCCTCAAGACACCCAATATGGTCCACCTTTTCAAAACCGTTTGACTTTTCCTTACTTACTCAATGGCACATAAAATGGTCAGCACAAGCACCAATCAATCACCACATCATCTCTGACCCTACAGTCAATCAACCAAGATTTAACTGGCCATGCCATTACTGGGCACTCCTCCTGTTTTCAAACTGGACAGGGTCACTGTGCCTCAAACCTATACCAATGGTGCCTTCACAGTGACAAAAAATGCCCTTGTGGACAAGTTCAAACCATGTCCTACATTGTTGACTTGTGTCCATATACAATGCTACCTGGTGGCCTTCAAGCTCTTCATATTGGTGATGACATCACTTAAGATGGCTGAAACAATATGCCAAAACCACATATACTAAATAAGTAAAATGCCTGTTGAAAGAAGCACTTTGAAGACCTTCTCAATTGAGATTCTGCTGTTGACAAGAGTGTTCTCAACTCCATCCTGCAACACAGTCAGAGATGATCTCAGAATCCTTCCAACCTTTGACGAGGTGAGGAAAGCCATCAAGCAGATGAAGAACAACAAGGCACCTGGAGCAGATGGAAACCCTGCTGAATTCTTCAAACAGGGAGAAGAGGAGCTCACATCACAGCTTCATGCCCACATCTTAAGGATCTGAAATGATGAGGAAATTCCAGACAACTTTGGGGATGTCACAATTGTGACAATCTTCAAGAAAGACGAGCCCAACTGTACAAACTAGAGAAGGATCGCCTTGCTGTCCACTACAGGGAAGATCATTGCGAGAATCCTCCTGAACCATTCTTCTTCCACTTGCTGAAGAGCATCTCCCAGAATCTTAGCATGGGCTTAGGGCATCAAGAGGCACAACTGACATACATAATCTTTACTGCTTGTCAGCTGCAAGAGAAATGCCAGGAACAACATAAGCCTCTCTACATGGCCTTCTTTGACCTCATGAAAGATTTTGACTGTCAGCTAAGATGCTATGGATGATCCTGAAGAATGGATGCCCACCGAAACTTGTCGTCATTCTCTGCTTCCTCCATGAAGGTGAGTGGTGGTTCTCAGTAATGAATCCATCACAGATCCCCTTGACATTTGAAGTGGGAGTTAAGCAAGGCTGTGTCATCACTCCGGCACTCTTCTCAATATTCCTTGCCACAATGCTACATCTGACCACCAACAAGCTTCCAGCTGGAGTGGAGCTAAAGTACTAAATGGATGGGAAGCTGTTCAACCTCAGACAACTCAAGGCCAAAACCAAGACCATTCTGACTTCAATCATTAAGCTCCAGTATGCTGATGATGTTGTAGTGTGTGCTCACTCGGAAGCAGAGCTTCAAGCAATTGTCAACATCTTTACCAAGGCATACAAGAAAATGGGACTGATGCTTAGCATTCAGAAGACTAAGATCCTCCACTAACAAGCTCCTACAGAACAGTCTCCAGCTCTAGTAATCCAGATCCATGGCGAGACTCTTGAGAACCTTGAGTCCCATAGTTTGGCAGACATTTCTGACAAAAGGCTGACATTGGATAAAGAAATCCAACATCGCCTCAAATGTGCAAGTGCAGCCTGAAGAAACAGGTGTTTGAAGATCATGAAATCAGATCCAAAACCAAGCTCATGGTTTACCAAGCAGTTGTGATCTCTATCTTGCTGTACAGAGCTGAGACACAGACAATGTACAGGAGACATCTAAAATTGTTAAGAGAAGTACCATCAACATTGCCTGCAGAAGATCCTCTGAATCCAGTGGGAAGACAGATGCACTAACATTAGTGTCCTCCTTCAAGCAAACACCAAAAGTATTGAGGCGATGATCATCTGACATCAGCTTGGTTGGGTTGGGCACATCAGCCAGATGTCTGACTCCAGACTCTTGAATCAAACTTTATTCTCCCAGCTGAGCCAAGGTGCTTAAGAGGAGGGCAGAAAAAGTGCTTCAGGGATGTCCTCAAGGCCAACTTAAAAAAATGCAGCATCTATGTCAACATGCGGAAGACTATCGCCAGGCTCACCCCGATTTTAAAAGAAGAGTCTGCTGCAAGGATCTCTGTACTCTGAAACCTGATGACAACAAGAGATCAAAAGCGGGGGCAGCAGAAACAGTGTGTCATGGACCAAATCAAGAATCTAGTGCCACCCGCCCCACACGAAAACACGTGGCCAAGCTGAAGCAGAGTCTGTCAATCCCAGATAGTTCGCACCAGCCATCTTCGAAAACAATCATCCCCAATTATGAGGGATTGCCAAAGAATAAAGTGGGACCTCAATCCTGACTGGGGTTTTCAGTGGTCTGTGACAGAAACAACAAAAGCTGTACATTGTAATACAGGTTTCCCTTGCCAACTACAGGGGTTAGGTTCCTGAAAGTTCCCATGGTTGGCAAAACCGTGGTTGGCAAAACTGGCGGGGCTCCAGGGGTCAGGGGCTGAGGGTGAGGAGCACCAGCAAGGCTGGGGAGTGCGGGGGACAATGAGGGGAGAAGCATAAGCAGGGCCAGGGGGGCAATGCGGGGTATTTTCAGACTGTACCCCACCTTTCTCTGAAGTGTGGATACTCAAAACCGTGGTTGGCAAAGGAAAACCTGTAGTTATCTGCAATGTAGCAAGATTATACATACCTACCAGTGCTTTAAGAAATGAACTCAGTGTCTGGGAATCCAACATGTTGCTGTCAGAGTACAGCCCCAAATCTGGGACGGTGGCCTGTAGCGCAGCCACTCATCTTGGCCTGCCACCTTTTAGCTAGCCATCCAGGTTGGTCAAAGATGGTGTAAAGCCTCTGTTGAGACCTAACCTCCTGCCCACTCCCTGTCAGTGGCCAGCTTGGTCTTTTCCCATATATAAACACTTGACCAAGAACAGGAAATGTCTTGGCAACAAAGCAATCTGACCCAAGACCATTTTGGTACTCCCTAGCTTTGCCCTTTCTGGATCTTAACTTGGCTTGTCTGTGGACTTTCCCCTCTATTTACTCTCCAGGCTTCTTGACTTAGCTCACCCCTGGACTTCGCCTAGATTGATCTCCTAGCCCCAGGTCATAGTTTGACCTCAGATTCTGCTTACCAAGCCCTAGTCAGTGCCTTGAGCCACCCACATCTAGGCATGACAGTTACTAAGTAATGTATCCCTTCAATTAAGGAAGTAGTTCAAAGATGCTAACTGACTGTAAATCCTACTGTGCAACTAAAAATAGGAAGACCTTGAATACACCTCACAGGATTTAGGCACCTTACTTTTTAGACTGAATGGAATTCTTAAAATAAACTATTTTTTAAATCTTAGAAAAAAAAGGTAACTTTTTAATTAAAAACATTTTGCCAGAATAACCCAACTAAAATAAGCCATTTAATTTCACATGCAAAATAGCTTTAATTGTTCAATTAATAAGGCTCCGTTGCTGGCTATGTGTTCAATTTATGGAGCAATAGGATCCACCCACAAAAGTAATACACATTTTTGTGTAATAACTTTGTGGCTTATTCACTGTTTTATTGTGTCATTAATTGAATGAACATGTTATTATTGTGTCATTCATTGAAAGAACCAAATTAATTGGTTTATCACATCTTAAATGTAATGACAGCCAGGGGCAATAATGAATGATCTGGGAAATAATGATCTTTTAAAAAAAAATTATTTATCCTTGCTTTCTCCACCACCTTAAATTTAGAAGAGAAAAACAGAATAAGTACTGCTAAAGTCCATTTATAAGATAAGTTCATCACTTTTGAACAATGATGAATACACTTAGTATTACAGTACACTACAGTACTTAAATGTATCTTCTTCCTTTCCACCAGCTAAAATATCTAGAAGCTGGAGAAAAATAAAATGTTTACAACTGAAAATATCAATACTGTTGACTTATAAAGTAAGGTTATATCCACAGAAATCAGAAGTCTAACGTTAAATACAGCTACAGAAGAAATTCATGTAGTTTAAAGCACAATATCAAAGACAAGAAGTAAATATAAGTATATTACCTAATTTACAGAAAAAAACAGGTTTTTTTAATAGTGCGTTATTCTTATCTATAGATTGTGTCATAATTGCAGGAAAACTACAAACAAGTCTCATTTAACACTGAAATTACAAATATGATCTTGGAAATGGTAATATAGCTCTAATTTCCCTTGCAATTTCTGTAATCAGAATCTGGACTGAAAGATCCACTTCTGATTCTGAACTTCCAACTATGATTTTCACACATTTCATTCAACTGAAGATTTATACAAACTGGCACAAACAAGCTTCTCCATTCTTTCACACTAGCCAGCTTCTTGATTTTTTTACTGCAACTTCTTTTACAGTTCATTCTGCGGGAAAACATTTCACATAGAAATTTTTTCTTTGCAATTCCCCTGCCTCTCCCTCCAACTAATTTTCCAATTTTTCTGTACCAGGCTTCAGGAAAAAGAAAGAAAGAAACAAAACTCTTTTGTTCTCAATAGCGCTAGGCTTTTCTGGACATTCACATTTCTCTAGTATACAGCCTGACAAGAACAACATTTCTCTTTTATCTCTTTTCTTCCTTGTATTAGATCATCAAGATTTTAGTACATTTCCTTTCAAAAAAAAAAAACAAAACACTTTAAGTTGTATAACACATACAGGTATGTTCCAGAAAGGAGAGTTTTGAATAACAGCTTTTTTTGGTAATTTTTAGACTGAAAATACCAAGGGCACTTCTTACATTTATTAAGCAATGGGTATCTTTAAACAGCAAAATGAAGGGTGATGGCAGTATGTGCTACCTATCTACACGGAGTTTAGTTAGTTAGCATGGGACCTGGCAACCTGGACTTTAATGTGTGTAAGTATATGCTAACCTGAAGTAGAACAATCTATTCAGGGCTTCAGGGGTTTCGCTACAGTCGTCAGCATGTGCTAAAACATGAACTTCTACATCTCTAACCCATGGTAGATAGATTAGCTCAGCACAGGTATGTTAGCACCATCACACTTTCGTTTTGTGGCACAGACGTATCCAAAGTGACAACTTGCTTTTGTACTGAGCAGATATATACGTTCTCTGTCTCAAGGAGTTTGCAACCTGAGAGAGACAAAACAAAGGGCTAGATTTCCAAAAGAGCTCCCCCGCCGCAACAAAGTTCCCATTGGAAACAAAGAACACTTTTGAAAAACTGGTACAAGATGATCTGAATCACCAAAGGAACATTTCAATTGCAATTATTCTGATCTCAGGTATGTGGCCAGGAAGGTCTACTAATCCAAGTCAGAACAGAGCTTTCCTTTTGTGAATGCAAAGAAGGCCAAAATGAAAGGAAGCTACCCTTCAGGCAGAGATTTATTACTTTATCATGTTTTCACTAAAACATAGAGTTACCATATCAGATCTTTATTTAGAAGGTTTAGCAAATGAAAACAAATATATAACAAATAGTAAATAAGGTTCACTTCTATTATGACTACAGGACTTACCAGGTATAACTCAGTAGTTTGGCTTGAATGGATGCAATATACATAATTTTGGGACAACTCTCCTTTTTAATCTTTCTGTAAATTTTAAACAAGAACCCACTGGCATCTTTAAAAGTCTGTATACAGCTCAAGATTTTGCTTTAAGCCTGACCAATTAAGGTTAAGATTTATTTACTCAGAATAATACTAAAATACTTTAGCAGCACAGACACACAGACATCACTCTAATTAAATTCATATGCCTGATTTTTCAGGGTTTCAGATTCCACAATATAGCATATTATGAAGTGGTGAAGTATCAAGATTGCTCAAACTTAAAATAGCTAATCTAATTAACTGACATTAAATGTTAGCTATTAAACATCAGAACACTCTATGGCTGTCAGCCAACTGGCTATTGAAAACTCCGTGTTAAGGTCTCAACTATAGTTTTTTCAATAAAAGTATAGAGTGATTTTACTGCCTCAGTTACTTCATTTCATTTACTGTTAAGAATTTCCCCAAAAGAGCTCTATGATTACTTTTCAAATGTAGACCAACTACTCCCTCTACTGAAAATAACCTACTATTACATCACAGAAAACTGCAAAAGTTTGTGGGAATGCCCTTTTTAAGCGTATGTGTTCTTGTGAAGCAAGGCTATTAAATGTACAGTACTGTACGGGTTATAACATTTGACACTATTAAAACATAAATGAAAGCTGGATAAGCTCTATCTTCCAGATTCTAATAAACACACTACTTATGACAATGAAATTTTAAACTACATTGCAAATGAAATGCAAAACTCTAGAACTCTTGGTTCAGAGATGATACCTTTTTTTAAACTAAGATTGCAAAAAAAAAATTCTGCAAGCTTTCAGGCACACATGCCTTTCCTCAGGCTCAGGGAAAATACATTGCTGTATGCAGTCAAGGGGGAACACAAAACAAACCAGGTATATGTTAGTTTTATTCAATATTTATTGCAAGATTGGCAGAGTATTTGCCTTAAAACTCTTTACAAATTGCAGTGTAAGAACATACTATCTCATACTCTCCTCCACATAATGGAGCAGAAACAATTTCTGCTCCTTAACAGAGATCCTTCTGAAGGAGAAATTTCCTTAGTAAAATGGAATACAGTCTTTAAAAAAAGGAGAGAGGAAGTAATTCCCTTCTCTGTAATGGCTTATTATTCTATAGGGAAGAAAAATAATGTATGTATGGAAACTTATTGCTAGCAAAATGATGGGAACCCCTCTGCACAAGCAAAATTAAGTGTGTCCAAGTGATCTTTTGGGTTTCTGTTAAATGATACCACTGCTATCAGTCTGGACAATCTTCTTGGACATCAAAAATATTAAACGTATTTAAAAAAACATTTTTAATATGCCACAAATTTGCCTTTGCTTTTCTCGTGTTACAAGGAGAGAGAGGATTAGATCTCTCTCAACTATAACCTTCTGTGGCTGATATACTAAGCGTGCCCTACTGGTAACTTACTAATAGGGTCGCAATAAGAACACTTACGAAAAACCATCAGTTTGCTCAGCTGAGTTCCCATGATGTCACTTACAGCAGCACAACTGCCAAAGTAAATGGCTGGGTAAAGCTGCAGTGCCTGTGCTGGATAGGCAATCTACACAATACTGCAGATCAGTGACCAAAGATCTCAGACCTTCCTCTCTAGCATAGACAATCCAATTCAAACAAGCCATTTACTTTGGCAGTCATGCAGATGTTGGTGAGATCAGGAAGATTCAGCTGAACAAACTTCCCCTAGAGTTCCTGTTGCTACTATATTGTAAGGTACTAGCAGTGTAAACTCAGGATATCAACTATCACGTGCTAAAGATGTGCATCTAACTAGTTGGTCAATTTGGCAACTTCCACAGCCTGGACATCCACAAATATTTTCTAGCAGGCCTCCAAAAAAAACAAACCTGTCTAAAATGGGAAAATATAAGATGTGTGTAGGAAAACAATATTCTTGGACAAAAAATTTCTTCCCAGGGCAATGTCCTGTTCTAATCTCCCAGAACTGTATGAAATGTCTAAACTAGCCTGAGTGGAGAGATTCAAGCAAAAACAAGGAGACAATCTGGAAACAGAAGCAGATAAGGATGCATGGTTTTTTTTTACATTCCCACTGCCTGATTAGGCCAAAGCCATGCAGGAAAAAAGTGTAATTAAGGAGCTGAAACTGTTTACAGGTGAGTTGAACTATACAATGCTGTTCATAACATACTGCAATAAAAACAGCATTAATCCTCAGATATTTGGATAAGGCAAGCCTTGTGACTCATTTTGCAATTAATGTTTTACAGTTTGTTTAAAAAAAATCAAGACCCAAAAAAAGTGACAGCAGAGAGAAAAATAGTAATTAGAAGAAAAAATATAAAGAAATAATAACTGACCACAAAGAAAGTTAAACCATAAGCATGATTACTCCCTGACTAAAGATTGAAGGATCTGAGAATAACATAAATAATTTGAGTTATGTTACAGTGATGATGTAACCATGAAGTTCCAGGAATTATGCAAGAGGCAAGGATTTTTGTGAGTGATATCTTTTTATTGGCTACCTGCATGGTTGGGATAAAGTTAGACAAGCTTTTGGATGCAAGGGGTTCATGGGATCTCAGGAGTTAAGCATGCACAGAAAGTATTAAAAACAATGGTTAGAGCTGTGAAGTTAGAGAGAGGAGAAATTCCCAGGGATAGCAGACAAACCCAATTACTGGGAGATCAAGACCTTTTAAAAGGGAGGGTGGTTATTATCCCCTGTAGAGTGCAGGAAGAATTTTGGGAATCAGGTAGTCATGGGAGAACATGTTTTTAATCTGGATAGGTAAAACTACCTTAGTGATCATTGTGTCATTTAGCAGTTTCTGACTCATTAGCTATCAGCTATAAAGTTATTAACAGTTTCATGAAAGGACAAAACCTTCAATATTGGTACATTGCCTAGGTTCAGGTTTGCACGTGGTACATCAGCTGCATTTTGCTATCATAAATATAGATTCCTTCTTGTGTGTGAGAAATGCCAAGAAAGGAGATGTGTTATAATGACCTAACTCTGCAAGGGCATTCATGATTGATATTTAAATCAAATGAAAATATAACCTTGCTGCATATTCAAGATGATCAGGTTAATACGGATTATTATGGAAGCTATGACACTCTACTTACCTTAATAACAAACTTGTTGGATGCCATGACTGTTAGTTCAAAATGCATATGGAGCCTATAAAATGTTACAAAAAAAAATTCAGCATCAGAAAAGATTTTATATCTACATTTCAATGGCAAAAAATGTAGGGCTAATTTTTTTTTTTTTTAATGCTAGGGTTATTTTATTTGCAGTAAGCAAAGCAGAGCACCCCTGATCTAATTAATTACTTGTACTTTTAATAGTTCCATTATCATAATATTTGAGCATCTCACAATGGTCAATGTATTCATCATCACTATGCTTCTTCCTAGGGTAATTCACACCTGTTTTACAGGTGGGGGCTGAAGCACAGATAGACCTATCTCATTGTTGTACAGGAAGCTTTTGGTGAGCACTGCAACTCAGCAAACACTAAAATTAGATCATGCAAAACCTGGGCAGTTTTTACTTCACTCCAGAAGCTTCTTTTCACAGCCTGCAGTTCTTATCCCTTCACAATACAGAACCCAAAAATTAAATGCATCTTTTCATCCCTGACGAAACCCAAAATTCAGTGCTCTAAAGAAGCTTCATGTAACATAGTTTAGGAGAGAAGCAGGCAAAATACAGCCTACAGGCTGCATTTGGCCTGCCAGAAGATTTCATTCAGCCTGCAGGCGAGTGCCTACAAATTCACAGTATCAGACCCAGCCCCGGCGCTGCTCCTGCTGTGTTCACATGGGGCCAAGCCCTGCTTACTTCCATGGGGGCAATGCACACTGCACTCCCACCCTTGCCCGTGCAATGGCCCAGACCCTGGCCCCACAGGTAAGTACGGAGCAACAGGTGGGGAAAGGGTGGCGGTGGCAGGAGTGGAAGTGGTGGCAGTGGCAGGTGGGGGGGAGCAGAGGTTGTTGTGGCGGAGCCGGCATGTGGGAAGTAGCAGCAGTGGTGGCAGGTGGGAGGGAAGTGCCCACAAGTGGGCAGGCGAGAGTGAAGCAGCAGCCGGTAGGAGCTTGGTAGGAGCACAGCACCCATGCTGGTGCCCCGGAGCAGATACCAGCAGAGGTGCTGGGCAGGGTGACAGGAACACAGAGCCCAGGCCAGCAGGAGCACAGAGTCAACCTGGCTCCATTGTGCAGGACCCCCAGGGCTCACATGCAGTTCCTGGGTTCTCAGCCCAAGCTGTGAGCCTCCGGGGGGAGCCCCACACAGTGGAGCTGGTAGCCCAACCTCACTTACTGCCACATGCAGGTCATGGGGAATGGCAGAAAGCTCTGCACTATGGAGCCGGGCTGACTCCACCCCTCTCTCCGTCACCCTGGCTAAGCCCCATGGCCTGTACCACCAGCTTCATCACACAGGGCTCTCCCCAGTGGCGCAGGGCTCAGGCAAAGAACCTGGGAACTGCATGTGAGCCCCATGTAATGGAGCTCATGGCCCAGCCATGTGCACTCCTGGAGCTCACCAGGACTGCACACTGTCAGGGGTTCTAGCTACCATGGGCCACAAGTGTCCCGAGGGCCCACTGCCTGCTGCTGGCAGAAGGGGTTATGTGCAATGGAGGGGTGAGGGAGCAGTGTTTGTAGCGGGGGGGGCCCACAAGCACACCTCCCCATACACACACACCATAACAGTCATGGTGAGGCCACAGCTGGAGTACTGCATCCAGTTTTGGGCTCCACAATTCAAAAAGGATGTGGAGAAGCTTGAGAGAATCCAGAGAAGAGCCACGCGCATGATCAGAGGTCAGGAAAACAGACCTTACAATGACAGACCTTACCAGCGATTTGGATGATGGGGTGAAAAGCAACCTGTTTAAATTCGCTGATACTAAAATTTGGGGTATCGTCAGCGAATCTGAGGTGAGCACGCTAGTAGGGAGGGAAAGACTGCAGCAAGACTTGGATAGGTTACAGGGGTGGGCTAGCAAAAACAGGATGCGCTTCAATACTGATAAGTGCAGGGTGCTGCACTTGGACAATAATAACCAGCAGCACACTTATAAGATGGGTAACTCCCTTCTTGAGAGCACAGAGGCAGAAAGGGATCTTGGAGTCATTATTGACT